GGGAGGGGGGAAGGAGAAGGATTGGGATTGGGGGGGGAGGGGGGAGGCTGGGAAGTGATGTGAAGGGTAAACCAAAGGAGGAGGCTGCAATGCTTGGTAAGAAATGTACGCATTATCCTGCCCACGCAATTGTAACCCCTCTGTATAGTATGTTCACAAATAAAATAAAATTAAATTTAAAAAAATTTTAAAAAAAGATTTAATTTTATGAATTTCTTGACAAAAGAGTTAGTCATTGGTGAACTCCAAGAAATGGTTATGTTTCTTTTTAGAGGGGAGGAGTAAAGGAAGGTTAAGTAAAATTTAAATTTGATCACTGGATCCATCCATGGGTGATTCGAATGGTGTTTAACTCTCTACTTTCAATGCGTATTTGATCTTGTCTTTCTCTCCATTCCTGCCATCATCCCATCTGTCCTTCTGCAATAACTTCCACTCAGACATCCATCCAAATAGTTGCTATTCATTGAAAGCATTTGCTGCCCATTATTACTCATATCAACTATTATTGTAAAGATAACCAGCATTGCCATCAGTAACAAATATGGCCATGACACAGGAAAATGGGAGAAAGGCCCTGGCAGGGGAAGTGGCTGTCCACAGAGAGGCGCTGGGAGAGGAGGGGCTGGAACTTCCACCTCTGACTTCCTGTCCACCATATTGCCCCCTTTTCCTTGGCATCCTAGGCTGCAAGGACTTTATTGAGAGACTAGACCATGAAAATAGAAAGGCAAGCCTTAGGGGAAAGGTATTTACAACATGCATAATTTCTCAATGCTAATACTCACCATTGTAACAAATTCTTTCAAACCAGTTAAATATACAATAAAAGAAAACCTAACTGAAGTCAATCTAGCCAAGAAATTTGAACAGGTCAATGACAAAAGATGATCTCTAAATGGTAAATACATTTACTAAAAATCTCAATGTCATTATTCCTCAGAAAGATGCAAATGAAAACCCCAATGGATATCACTGTGTACCCTAATAAAATGGGCAAAACTAGGAGGCATTTTGAACAATAATTCAACATTGTGTTTCCTCTTGATTCTCGAGGAAGTGATCAATAGAATCTACTTCTGTTTATTGTTGGTTTAGATCGCAGCAAATGGCAGCCATCAGTTTCTATGGCTGGCTCTCCTCTATACAAGTAGATGCTTTGGTGGTTTTCTTGATGGCCTCTTCAAGTTTGGACCGTGCTTTGAGAAAGCCAGGTAAGTAAATACTATAAGATGAACAAGGATTCTTTATGTCACCCAGGCCCTGTAGTAAGCTGGCTGGAAGAGGCCAGAGCAACAGTGAAGATGTGACTCACAGGGAAGAGTCAAAGGCACCTGTGGTAGTTCACCAGGGCTGCCACAATGTGCACAAGCTGGGTGGCTCAGAGCAGCATCATTGTATTTGCTCACTATTCTGGAAGTTAAATGTCTCAAATAAAAGTGTCTTCAGAGCTGTCATCTCTCAGAAGGTTTTAAAGAAGGCTCCTTCCTTACCTCTACCAAGTTCTGGGGTATGGATAGTGGTCTTAGATGATCCTTGGCATGTGGTAGCATAACTCACCTATTTGTCTACTTCTGTCTTTTTTTGTTTGTTTGTTTTTTGGTTGGTCGTAGGGCTTGAACTCTGGGCTTGGGCACTGTCCCTGCATTACCGCTTGAGTCACAGCGCCACTTCCGGTTTTCTAGTGGTTTATTGGACGTAAGAGTCTCACGGACTTTCCTGCCCGACTGGCTTTGAATCAGGATCCTCAGATCTCCGCCTCTGGAGTAGCTAGGATCACAGGCATGAGCCCCTGGCACCCGGCCCTACTTCTGTCTTCACATGACCTGGATCCCTCTCTTCTTGTAGGAACTCTAGTCCACTCTAATTCTGAGATGATTGCATCAGGAAACCATCAACTAACTACATCTGTAAAGGACACACTCTGAGGTTGTGGACAGACACAACTATATATATATATGTATACACACACACTCACACACATATACATTTGAGATACTGTTGGATGTAATGTTGCATTGACAATATTGGACCTTCTCCAGAAACAATGCAGAGCCTGGACCAATCAAAGCATCCTCCTAGCTCTTGTTCATTGAGCAGAAACTTGAAAGAACTACATTGACTCAGGAAGTGGGAGATAGCACCTCTAGTAGAAACCACAGCATGACGTGACTGCCCTTTCAGGACCGTCTGTGGTTTGAAGCTGTGTGGCAAAGAGCCACAGGCCAAAGTGACAGAGGCTGCTGGTGACCCGGAAGTCAGTCTGCAGCCACAGACAGAGCTCCTGACCACCCCCCCCCCCCCGATTGTCACAGAACTACACGGGTTCCATGACAGCTTTTCTCCCACATTCACCAGGGCTATTCATTTCTAAGTCTGAGCCAAGTGTATACATGCTACAGCATTCTGAGAAGCTATGTGGTGGTTGTCGCTAATCAAAAGCTTAACCAGATTCCAGATACTTTGCTTTTTTGAAAAGTTCATTTTTACACATATGCCAAAAATACAGAAGAAACGGGCTGGGAAGGTGGCTCAGTGGTAGAGCGCTTGTCTTGCATGCCTGAGGCCCTGGGTTCAATTCCTCAGCACCACATAAGCAAAAAGAAAAAAGCCGGAAGTGGCGCTGTGGCTCAAGTGGTAGAGCGCTAGCCTTGAGCTGAAGAGCTGAGGGACAGCGCCCAGGCCCAGAGTTCAGGTGCCATGACCGGAACCCCCCCCCCAAAAAATACAGAAGAAACAAAAGATAAATGATCATGAATCACCCTGTTTTACTGGTTTCCAATAAAGACTATAAACTTTTTTTTGATCAGTCATGGGGCCTGAACTCTGGGCCTGGGCGCTGCCCTTCAGCTCTTCAGCTCAAGGCAAGTGCCCTACCATTTGAGCCACAGCGCCACTTCTGTTTTTTTTTCTTTGTTTCTGCTTCTGTGGTGCTGAAGAATCGAACCCACAGCCTCATGCATGCTAGGCAAGCGCTCTACCACTGAGCCAGCTTCCCAGCCCGAGACTACAAACTTAAATAAGCAAAGAAAGCCTCCTCCGTGACTGGATGAATAACTCTGAAGTTTAGTTTTTATTTTCTCTCAAAAACCAACGAGCACCTGTCTGTACCTGGCTGCTACGCGAAGGAAAAGCAGTGCACGGGACTGGGGGTTCTGGGGCACGGGGGGCGGTCTTAGAAGCAGTTGCTCTCACCCTCACCTTGTGTTCCCTTCCCAGCCCACCCTTTCCAGAGTTGGGCTTTTGTAAGCACAAACCTCACTTGGCACCTGGCACAAGATCACAGCCCCCCCCCCCCCGGGTCTGCGCGCTGGAGGCCCGGGCGCGCGGGGCTGGGGCTGGGACTGGCCAGGCATGGTCGGTCACCATGAGTCGCCATCACCGGCCGCTGTCACCTGCCACAGGTGGGTAGCGCTCAGAGCCACCACTGCCCAACCTCCCCTCCCATTTCCCATCCTCTCCTGGAGCCGCGCAAATCTGAACTCGAACCTGGGCGCGCAGGGTGACAGGTTTCTCTCCACACGCCCGAAAACCAGCCCCGAAGGAGGCTGGACGCTCAGTGCCCGGCGGGGCGGGCCGCAGGTTCGCGTCCTGTCCCGCCCCAGGTGGCGCGACCACCTACCTGCGCGTCCCCACGACGGCGCCGCCACCAGCAGGAGCAGCAGCCGCAGCGCCTGGCGCCCTGGCGCCGGGGTTCCCGGGGCGCGCTCAGGGGCGGCGGGGCTGGCTCTCATATCAGGGACACCAGGCTGCAAAGGACGCCCCCGGCTCAGACGGTGGGCCAGTGCACGGAACCCCTGGCGCGCATGGGATCCGCCCCCGGGGGCCAAGGTGCGCGCAGAACCAGGTGGCCGCGCGGGGGCGGCTTCGCGCAGCCGTATAGTCTCAGCCACTCCGGGTTTCAGTTTGGAGAGACCGCGAGCGGTTCCACGCCCCCCCCCCTCCCCCAGGTTGCCCGCAGGTCACCATTGCGCAGGTGACAGCTCACTCCAGGAGGGAGTTGACGGCGCGGTGAGAGCTGCTGTCTGGTATTGAGGTTTATCTGAAACGTTGATCTGAGTAAGCAAACCAGATTTTATTCCAGAAGGAATCAAATGGAAGAATGACGTGTGCATCCATTCCCCAGAGGACTGGAGGCCTTGTGCCATACACTGGACTGGATTAAGTCCAGGCAGAGCCGCCTTCAGGTGCGGTTCCATTTTACAACAGTCCCGAGGTCACCCCGGGGCTGGGCCAGTGAGCACTTGCACGCAAGGCCAGATCTAGGTCCGTGCCCTTTATAATGGGAGAGAAAGGAAGAAAGAAAGGAAGAAGAAAGACAGAAAGAGAGAAAAACAAAGAAAGAGAGAAAAAGAGAAAGGAAAAGAAAAGAAGAAAGGAAAGAAGAAAGAATTTAAGAAGAAGGAAATAAAGGAAGAAAGGAAAGAAAGCTAAGAGAAAAAAGAGAGGGGAATAATTTGTGGAGGGGAAGGGGAAAAATCGTTTAAATAGGGATCCAGGGGACCCATTGCAACAATGAGATGTACAAGTCGTTATGTCGAAAAACGAACTTTACAACTTTGGTTGGGGGGGGGAGGATTAGGTGGGGGACGGGGGAGGATGGGTTGGGAAGGGAAAACAAAGGAGGAGGCTACAATGCTTGATAAGAAATGTACTCATTATTTTGCCCATGTAATTGTAACCCCTCTGTACAGTATTTTCACAATAAAAAGAAAAAAGAAAAAAAAGAGAGGGGGAAAAAAGAAAGAGAAGAAAGAGGAAAGTAAAGCAAATAAATAAATAAGGAAAGAAAGAAAGAAAGAGGGGCTGGGAAGATGGCTCAGTGGTAGAGCGCTTGCCTTGCATGCCTGAGGCCCTGGTTCGATTCCTCAGCACCACATAAGCAAAAAGAAAAAAAGCCGAAGTGGCGCTGTGGCTCAAGTGGTAGAGCGCTAGCCTTGAGCTGAAGAGTTGAGGGCCAGCACCCAGGCCCAGAGTTCAGGCCCCACAACCGGACCCCCCCCCAAAAAAAGAAAGAATGAAAAAAGTTAAGAGAAAAAAGAGGGGGGAAAAAGAAAGAGAAGAAAGAGGAAAGTAAAGCAAATAAATAAATAAGGAAAGAAAGAAAAAGAAAGAAAGAAAAAAACAAGCAAGCAAGAAAGGGAAAAATGTTGAAAAAGTGTGAGAACAACCTCAAGGCTGGTCTCACCACTGATACTTAGCTAAGTAGTTGTAAAGGCTGAACACAGACTGAAAATAGAGAAATAAACGTTTTACAGCAAAAAGATTCTGTCCCTTTCTCCGTAAATGTCTATTGCATGTGACAAAAGCAAGTTGCAGTGGCTTAGGACAGGAATAACTCAGGAGGGGGAGGGAAAATATATATATTCTATGTGTATGAATATAAGTGCTGGCTTAGTACATTCATTTTTTGATTTACTCATCTACTTAATTATTGCTTTTATTTTTATTTTCTGCTTATACTAGGGCTTGAACTCAGGTGCTCACTGAACCACACCTTCACTTCCTGTTTTTGTTTTTGTTTTTAATACTAACTGGCTGAAGGTAAAGTCTCTCAGATTTGTCTTTCCAGGTTGGCTTCCAACTGAAATCCAGGTCCCTGGGTCTCTAGGGTTACAGACAGGAGCCAGGCACTGATTGGCCAGGTGCCATAACATTCTAACCTTCTGCTTATCTCCATTAAGTTCAAGTATTAGAATCCTAGTCCCTCTTGGGTCAAAATAAACTTCAGTGTACCCTACAAAGAGTTTTTGAAGTAACTCAACTCACCGAAACCCATGACTTCTATTATCAACATGTTAGCACTTTCTTTTTTGGTCATGATTTACCAAATTACATTCTTAATTTTGTTGAGCCTGACATATTATAATTTTCTACACTTTCTGGTCAGAGAGGCCAGAAATCGCTACTTCCCTCACCTTACTGTCAAGCATTGGTACCACGAATGAAAAATTCTAGTTTAATTCTAAAATGGCTTCCAGGAATGAGATGCAGCAATGATAAAATGAAATACTGAATTCTGACTTTGCGCCAGACGCTATGCTTATTTCTTTTTTAACCTTTCCTTCCTCCTATTTAGTCATTACAATTGTGTGACTTCGTTACATTTTCAAAACAAGGAGACAAGCTTGGACAAGTGGCTTACTTAAGGAGCAATAGAACTGGAATTTGAGTTCTGGTGAATCTAATTCCAGAGGCTGGGCTTTTAATAAAAATACAGCAAATGCATTTGAGCGTGAACTATAAATCACCACATGTATTAAAATGTGTACGGATTCATTTATGGAAAACTCCACTTTGTGTTTCATATAGTATACAACATTGTAAACGAGAAAGAAAATGCTCATTTGGGTCATCCTATAGTCAGGGTCAAGTTCATTTAAAGTGAACTTGTAAGCTAGCCTTGTAGATGAGTCTCTTTCCTGCTCAGGCTGCCTCCAAAACCATGATCCTCAGTAGCTAGGATTACAGGCAGGCACCTAACTCCAATCACTTTTTGAGGGCATTAAGATTCCCAACTTGAGGCTATAGCAATTGGACTTCTTTCAACCTGTCACTCATGTAAGTACATTTCTCTCAGCCAGAGATATACCTAGGAATGTAATGATGGGTCATAGGCTAGATGCAATTTTGGTTTATACTTAAGCCAAACCTGTTCATGCCAAACCTGTTTTCCAAGAAGCCTTACCAGTTTGCTCTCTTATCAGCTGTGAGAGACAGTTCTTGCACATTTTTTCTGCCAGTTTTTGCTATTTTCAGGCTTCATAATTTAAGCTATTTTAGAAAGTATGTAATGGATAATATTCTCTGTGGATTTCACTTGCATTTTTTTTGATAACTGATGACACTGAAAGTTGTTAGTAAATTTATTAGTATTCTTTTTTTGTATATTCCCTTTCTGTAATGGATCTTAAATTTCTTGACTAAATTAGATGGACTCCAGTTAAATTGTCTTTTTACTTTATTTTTAATTTGTGTGAAAGAGTTTGTCACATATGCTGAATAGCCATTGAGCCTTTATCAGTTATGCACGTTGCAAATACATGTTCCCAGTGTCTTGCCTTTCTATTTTTAAATAGTGTCTTTTAAAAAAAGAATGTGTTGATATAATGATGTAATGTAGTCTAATTGGTTTCTTTTGCTTTCTCCTCCTCGTCCTCTTCCTCCTCCTCCTCCTCCTCCTCTTCCACCCCCCCCCTCTTCCTTCTGCATTTTCCTTTTTTTTTCCACTCAAGGCTGATGTTTTATCACGAGAGCCACACCGCCACTTCCAGGTTTTTGCTGGTTAATTGGAGATAATTGTCTCCTGGACTTTTCTTCTAGGGCTGGCAACCATGATCTTCAGATCTGAGCCTCCTGAGTAGTTAGGATTACAGGAGTGAGCCACAGGTGTCCATGTGGTGTGTTTTTCTTTTGTAGATGTTCTTTATTTTATTGTCAAGGTGATGCACAGAGGGGTTACAGTTACATAAGTAAGGTAATAAGTACATTTCTTGTCAGACTTGTTACTCCTTCCCTCATTTTTCTCCTACTTTCCCTCCCCCACCCCCCAAGTTATACAGATCATTTCCAACATATTGTCTTGTTTTATTGCTGTTGCATTGCCTCCCCCCTTGTCCTTTGTCTCACCATTCTGTTGTTCCCCTTCCCTTCCCTAATTCAAATAAATGTATATACAATACCAGGGAACCAAAATCAAATACAGTGATAACAGGGGATATACCATAGGGAGAAGAACATATAAAAGAAACAAACAAATCACATAGTACACGAACAACAGCACCAATAACAACAACAAGAACAACAACAACAAAGAAAAAAACCTCTGTGTCCATGTCTTGGAGTTGATTTTGCTTAGCATCATCTTATATGGTCATATGTACATAGCTATTGAGCTATTCTGCTCTAGATATTTTTCTTTATGTCCTACTTAAAAATCTCACTCTGCTCTAAGATCATGAATATATTCTTATAAATCACATATGGAAGCATTATTCTTTTATATCACATTTATAATTATGATCTATTTACATTCATTTTTATAAATAGATAATATAAAGTAAGAGCTCATGTTTTATTTTATAATATGAAGTCAGGCAACCTAACATTATTTATTTAAAGTCAGTCTTCCCTTAAAGTTTTGCTTTTTGGTCTCATCTTTGTCATAATTTCAGTATCCTGAATGAATGGGTCTGTTTCTGGACAATTTTCTGTTTTCTATCTATTTGCTATGATAGCAGCACTATAGTACTTAACTGCTTTGTTTGTTTGAACAGCAAGTCCTCTTCCCCTTGTTTTTATTTGGATCTCTCAGCTATTTTTCATTATTTGTATTTTCATAATAAATTTTAGAATCACTTAAAATTTTCCGCAAAACAGTCGACAGGAACTATTTTTTTTTCTTAAGAATTTTTGTTATTTTGGGCTGGGAAGGTGGCTCAGTGGTAGAGCGCTTGCCTTGCATGCATGAGGCCCTGTGTTCGATTCCTCAGCACCACATAAGCAAAAAAAAAAAAAAGAAACAAAGAAAAAAAAACCGGAAGTGGTGCTGTGGTTCAAGTGGTAGAGTGCTAGGCTTGAGCTGAAGAGCTGAGGGACAACGCCCACGCCCAGAGTTCAGGCCCCACAACTGGACCAAAAAAAAAAAAAACCCAAGAATTTTTGTTATTTTAAAGAAGTTACACCAAGGGGTTATACA